TCAAAGTGCCCTGGATGGCAGCCAGAGCTTATAGTTGAACGGCCCCTTGGTGTGACCCCTTTGAGGGGCGCCTGGGTGGCTCAGTTGGTTGCGTGTCCCACTCTTGATCTTGATCTCTCGTTTTGTGGGATTGAGGCCCGCATTGGGTTCTGCACTTGCAGAGCAGCCTGCTTGGGATTCTCTCTCTCCTCTTTCTCTGCTCCTCCCCTGCTCGCACTCCCTCTCTCTCTCTCAAAATAAATAAACAAATTAAAAAAAAAAAAAAAAGATCTCCAGACTTTCAGGATCCACAATTGTGCAGACAGCAAGTTCAAAATCACCCAGGGAGTCATGGAGGCTGATGGTGTGTTTGGGCTACTTCTGCTCCTCGGTTCTGAGACTCCTGTATTATGGGGAACGCAGCATCATGTAGAGGTCTCTTACTCAATGCCTATGCCACGACCTGAAAGGTGGCCCTGCAGCCTTTCAGAGTATGGTAGCCCTCTCTGACCCTCAGTTTCACGTTCTGGGGTTTCGGTTATCCTTGGTCCACCATGGTCTAGAAGAAGATCCTTCTGATGCACCATCATAGCCTAACGCTGTGTCACAAATCCCCGTGCCATTCACCTCCCTTCATCTCATCCCGTGGGATTGTATATCTCACATCATCCCAAAGAGAAGGGTAAGCACAGTGATGTGACTTTTGTTACCATATATTGTTATGATGGTTCTATTTTTTATTATTGCTGTGAATCTCTTGCTGTGCCTAATGTATGAATTAAACTTTTTCACAGGAATGTATGTATATATAGGAAAAAAAAACAGAGTATCTATACGGTTTGGTGTCATCTGCAGTTTGAAGCATCCCTGGGGGGGGGAAGGGGGTCTTGGTATATATCCCCCATGGATAAAGGGACACAACTCTATCACCTGCACCTTTGAAAGGCAGTTCCAGTATTCTGAGCCTCGCTGCGTCCGGCTGGTACAGGATGCACTACAACCAGTGGACTCCAAGGTCAAGGGCTCACCCCCACTCTAAAGTGGGCCCTCTGCTCCGACTCTCTGTTGTATGGGATTCCCACGCCTGTGGATTGAGCAGTCTGTGAGGTTAGTGGTGCTGGCTGAGGCTATGCAGACAGGAAAGACAAGCCTGTACCTGGAATAGCTAGCTGTCCCCATGAGGGACACACTGCTTGCCCTTCCGGGCCGAAGGGATCCAAGCTAGCTGATTTGCCGCCAAAGGGCCAGTTGGTCTCCCTGGGGATTAGTGGCTCTTGCTGGCACGTTAGCCATTCAGAGGCAGCGGTAACTGCGCTGAGCATTTACCAACATACGCTATATGTAGGTTAGGTAATGTGTCTCGTAGGTAATGTCTTCTCTTTGTTTTCTGCTACACAGCTGCCCTCCGTGTCTCTGACTCTCTGTCCTTAGCAGGCTGATCTCTCGCACTGCGTCATCAGGGCTCCCTGCCTGTGGGTGTGGTCACTGGCAGGCAGGAGACCCAGCAGACAGCAGGGGGAGAGAAAGCCTATCCCCTCAGCTCCCACCTTCCAACTCATGGCTTTGCAGAGGTGATGTCCCTTTTTTTTTTTTTTAAGTTTATTTATTTATTTTGAGAGAGAAAGAGAGAATGAGCAGAGGAGGGGCAGAGACAGAGGGAGAGAGAGAATCCCAAGTATCAGTATGCTGATAGCATGGAGCCTGACTCGGGGCTCGAACTCACGAACCAAGGTCATGACCTGAGCCAAAATCAAGAATCAAATGCTTAACCAACTAAGCACCCCAGGTGTCCCAGAAGCACCAAGCATTCACTGGGTTCCAAACAGCTCCTTCTCCTCACCCCTTCAGCTACAAACGGTAATGGCTCCCCACTACTGATGGCCCAGGGTGTTTCTTCAGTATCCCCTGTTGGCTTCCCTTAAACTGCCCCACTTTGGAGTCTTTGCATGTGGAATATCTGCAGTCTGAGGATGCCATCTGTTCCTCACAGGACCCCAGCGAACAAAAATAAGATATTTTCTTCCTTGACTTTTTGTGTTTTAAGAGCTGAGAGCCCCATGCAGGGCTCAAGCTCACGAACCCCACAAGATCATGACCAGTGCCGAGGTTGGACGCCTTACCCACTGAGCCACCCAGTCCCCCCTCTTAGCTTCAGGCAGTGAACCTATTTTCCTTGTTCCTTAATTGATTTGGCAAATATCTGTTGAGCATCAACCATGTGTCAGATCCTGTTCTGTTTTTTGAGAAAACAGTGGTGGGCAAGACAAAGGGGTAACCATGTCTTGCTAATGAAAAGGTAACTTCAGACAGTGATAAATGGCCTGATGCCCCGAGTAATCCTTTGGAGGGCATCAGTGGGTGTGGATGCCCTAGGTTGGGAGCCTGGGGAGGTCTCTCAGAGGCTGTGAGGTCTGAGGACCCGGGGCCATGACCTGAAGGAAAGGCTTGCTGTTCAAAGATCTGAGAGCAGGGGCACCTGGGTGGCTCAGTCAGTTAAGTGTTTGACTCTTGATTTTGGCTCAGGTCATGATCTCAGAGTTTGTAGATTCGAGCCCTGACAGTGCAGAGCCTGCTTGGGATTCTCTCTCTCTCTCCCTCTCTCTCTGCCTCTCCTCTTTCTCCTCTCTCTCTCTCTCTCTCTCTCTCTCTCAAAACAAGTGAACTGGAAAAAAAAAAAGATATGAGAGTAAAACATTCCAGATAGTGATGTAGCAGGCAAGGGCAAAGTCCTAAAGGATCAATGAGCTTGGCTTTAAAAAAAAAAAGGTTTTTATTTAAATTCCAGTTAGTTAACACACAGTGGTATATTATACAGTGTTATATTATGTTGTATATGTCCTATATGTTATACAGTGTTATATTAGTTTCAGGTGTTCAATTTAGTGATTTAAACCTTCCATATAACACCCAGCGCTCATCACAAATGCCCTCCTTATTCCCAAACACCTATTTCCCCCATCTCCCCAGCCACCTCCCCTCTGGTAACCATCAGTTTGCTCTATATCTATAGTTAAGAATCTGTTTCTTGATTTCTCCCCCCACCCATGATAGTTTGTTTTGCTTCTTAAATTCCACATATGAGTGAAATCATATGGTATTTGTTTTCCTCTGACTTATTTCGCTTAGCGTAGTGCTCTCTGGCTTCAATCACATCATTGCAAATGGCAAGGTTTCATTCCTTTTTTTGTGGCGAATATGCCATTGTATGTTTGTATGTATATATATCACATCTTTGTTACCTCTTGGACACTTGGGCTGCTTCCATAACTCGGCTATTGTAGATAATGCTGCTATAAACATCGGACATGCAGCAACATTGACATGGGTGGTGGGCAATTAAGCTATGTGTCTGTAATAAATAAGATTGAAGGGCTAACCTCTAGTACAGTGTTGTCCTCTTTTAAGCGGACGATCTATTTGCTCAGCAGGTACTTTCAGACGATTTGGGGGCATGCTCTGCATCTTAGTGCAGCACCAACACCTACCTCCAGGTAATCACCTAACCATAGCCCCAGCTGACTTAAGGTCACAGCTACAAAGTTGCCGAGGTAAGATGCCAATCACTTCTGTTTCATTCCAGTCTCAGAGGTGGCTTTTCCTTCTCATTAAGGGAGTCAGGAGGAATATGTCAGCTGGAGACCCTCAACAGTTTTCAGAGGTAAGTAATCTATCCACAGAAATTAATAATCCACAGATGCCCTGGGAGTGAGAGGGAAGATCTAACAGGTCTTCCCCCCTCCCCCCAAATGGTTGTGAAGTTGCCCAAATTATAAAAGCTCTAAGCCAGCAGTTTTGTTTGTTTGCTTCACCTGAATATTACATTGTAGTGTCACGGTGAGACCCATTTTAGGATATAAATACACCTGCTAGGAATCAGTGACCGAGTGGAGAACGAGCCTGACTTCCAGCCTTTCTTCCCTTTCTTGAAAAGACTGACAGGGCCACTTTATTCTCACTCAGGCGTTCCTACCTTAACCCTGTGATATAACTTTGCAGCAGAATCGCAGTATAGGTCCAGTGTGGTGCATGCTTATTATTTTTGGCCAAGTTGTGCTTCCGCTGCAAAATGAAGCCATCACCTGCCCAGAAGGTGGAGTGCTTTCCCCATCTTTTCTACTTATCAGTAGTCTCTCTCTTTTTAACGTTTTATTATTTCTGAGAGAGAGAGAGAGAGAGAGAGAGAGCGAGCGAGCGCCAGCGTGAGCAGGGAAGGGTCAGAGAGAGAGGGAGTTACAGAATCTGAAAGAGGCTCCAGGCTCTGAGCTGTCAGCACAGAGCCCGACGTGGGGCTCGAACCCACGAATCATGACCTGAGCTGAAGTCAGACGGTTAACCGACAGAACCATCCAGGCGCCCCCATTTATCGGTATTCTCAAACGAACACTCTCTTTAGATCAGGAGCAAGGTCTTGCAATTTCTGCTACCAGCACCACACATCTGGCACCTAATACCTGGTGAGAGCACTAAGATTCTAAGAGGCATGTTTCTGCCGGGCGAAAGCTCAACCTTGACGGTCTCCTAAGTGTGATTGCGCAGTGGTCGCTTTCGGCCACCGGGCGGCGCCAAGGCACCATCCAGAACAGCTTCACGAAGTTTTTCCACGGGGTTTGAAGTTCTGAACTTATAGAAAAGTGTCAGAAAGGTTAATTCAATAGTTTAGGGGCATTGCCCCCAGGCACGAACGTTGCTCGGGCCACAGGTGGGCTGCGGAAGGCGCTCTGAGTCTCCGGGCGCACCGCAGACCTCTGGGGATCGCAGGGGACCTCGGGCTGGGGAGTCGCAGAGGTGCGCGCGCGGCAGTGAGGTGCAGCCGGGCGCCGGGGACAGGTGAGGTGGGGGGTGGGGGGTTTGGGTGAGCGCTGCGCTGGGGGTCCGCCGGGCGCGCGCGGGGGGCTCGGAAGAGCCGGCTCCCTTCCCTCCCCCGCCCCTCGCCGCGCGGGGCCGGCCGGGCCGCTCCTCCCCTGGGTGGGTCCCGGCTCCTTTTCTGGCAGGATCTATTTGCATAGAGGAAACTGCCCAAAGTGGCCGCTGTGGAGGAGCTGGCGGCGGAGCGGGGGGCGTGCGCCGCGAGCCGCCGCTGCCCCGAGGCCGAGCCCCGCGCCCGGCCGACCTCGTGCCTCGGACTCTCCCGCCTGCTCCCCGCGCGCGGGCCCGCACCCGCAGCCCCGCACCGCCCCCTCGGAGACCCACGCGCGACTAGCGCGCCATGAGCCCGGGCCAGCGCGCCGACGGAGACGCGCGGAAGGGCGGCCCGGCGGGCGGCGGCGGCGGCGGGGGGCACCCCGCGTCGGCGGCCGGGGCCTGGGCGGTGAGCGCGCTGTGCCTGCTGCTCTCCGTGGGCTCGGCGGCCGCCTGCCTGCTGCTGGGCGCCCAGGCGGCCGCGCTGCAGGGCCGGGTGGCGGCGCTCGAGGAGGAGCGGGAGCTAATGCGGCGCGGGGGGCCGCCGGGCGCCCTGGCCGCCTGGGCCGAGCCGCACCTGGAGCGCCTGCTGCACGAGGTGAGGCGCGCGGGGCGCGGGCGCGGCAGGGGGAGCGTCGGCGCGCGGGGGGGCCCGGGGAGGGGGCCCCCTGCCCAGCGCGCGCGCCCCTCCGGGTGGCCTGCGCGGTTGGCTGGGGGTGCGGTTCCCCGAGGGGGTCCTGCCGTCTCCGCGCCGGCCGCGGGGTCACGTTGCAGGGCGCAGCGACCGCGGGAAACGCGAGCCACACGGGCCGTTTCGGCAGCGAGCAGTGCGGAGCGAGAGAGGGGAAAGACCGCGGACGTAGTAACGGTGTCCGCGGGGCTGTGCGCTCCGACCAGTCGCTTCCCGCCGGACGAGAGCGCCTGGCTCCTCGTCCGTGCGGGACTAATGACCAGGTTCGTGTGGGCAATGACCGGTAGCAGCTACCGTGCCCGACGCTGGTGGACTCGGAGAAGCGGCGGCCCCGGTGGAGGGAAGGCTTGGACGTACCCGAGGGTCAGGGCCCTGCGAGGGATCTGGTCAGCCCAACCTTCCCTGCCCACCTCCTTCCAGAAAGGTGTGTCTCCGAGAGCTCCATTCTGGAGATCCTGTGTTCTGGGGCTTTCAACGGCTCACCCAGTGCCCCGTAACCTGAGGCTACAGCCGCCTCTGCGGCTTGGTAGGATGAGGGGAATTAAACACCCGGATTCTGCGTTTAAGCTATACCACCTGGGGAATGCAGTTCCATCCTGAGTTTCCTTGCGCTTGTTCGAAGTGTCCTAGGAGACTCTGCACCACTTCTATTAAGGTTGCTGCTGTGACCTCAGAATGCGCATCCATCGTGTGCACCAAAATCTCCGCGTTCCGGACAACAGTGCCCCTCCGCCTAGACTAAGACGGGCAGGTGGGCTGGCCAGAGGTCCCCCGGGTCTTCCTGGGAGAGGCAGATCCCAAGTCTAGTACCCGGAGGGGCATCCTGAAAGTCCCAGTGTTTCAAGGTCAAGGAGAGGTAGGCCGGGCCTGTTACTACCCATTCCATCTAAACTGGGCTAGCTGTGATCTCCATCAATGCAGTGAGCTGCGTAACTTTGCGGAGGTCCTTTGGAGTCCTTCAGGAAACGGGAGAAGACTGCACCCACGTTCGAGTCCACCCACCTGTTTCTGAAGTCCCTTCCATGGAAGCCAGCATTCTGTCTCCTCCAGCATGGATGTGGGCAGGTTTCCTATTATCGCCTTGAAAATGCCCACAGACTTCGCACCTGGCAGCTGGTGGTGAAGGTTCCTTAACTGCAGCCCATTATCCCTCTTGGCAAATCCCTAGAGATCTGGGTGTTGCCTTGATTGATGAAGGGCCAGTATAATTTCTATCTGTAAGTGCAGGGACCGGGGCTGTTCTTTCCCCAAGGAGGCCCCTCTTAGGAAAAATAAACCGCGAGCCCTGATTGAATAAATCAGAAATCCCAGTAAAACCTTTTGCAAGCAGCTTGCAAATTTGTTTCCATGTTAATGGGCGGAGGGGACAGGGCAGATGTCCTGACAAAGCGACCACAGCTGAAAAGGGTAGATTCCCGAAACCTGAACTTTGAGGATTAAGGAATCTGAGGGGAGAGAATGCAGCGGCTTCATCCTGCTGCCTCCCGGGGCACTGATCTTACCTGGGTGGGACTGTATCTCTCTTGTCTCTGTCTCTGTGCTCTCAATTTAGAAAGGCGAAGGGAAAATGTCACATCCCAGGATCTGCATTTGAAGTTGGGCATACTGTTCAGCAGACTGGCGTTAGCACAGGATATATGTGAACAATACACTTGGTTTGATTAGGTTTGAGTTAAAGCGCATGTGCTTGGAGCACAGACCGGCTGGTGGAGTGTCAGAGATGCCATGGAATGAATGCACTTGGGAGTTGAGCTTCTGGCTGTTTGGGGATCCCCTGTGGGAAGGCATCTTTCTCCTAGGGCATCAGTCTGTTCCTGCCAAAAGCCATTCTTCTCACAAATGTCATCAGATGGGAAATGTACACAGCCTGGTGGGCAAAATCGGGACCCCCCTGGCTAAGATGAGGGGGGTGTGGGAGGCACATATGAAGAGTTGGTAATTAGCTTTAAATAAATGTGGGAGCACCTGGGTGGCTCAGTCAGTTAAGCATCCGACTTCAGCTCAGGGCATGATCTCGTGGTCCGTGGGTTTGAGACACGCATCCGGCTCTGTGCTCACAGCTCAGAGCCTGGAGCCTGCTTGGGATTCTGTGTCTCCCTCTCTCTCTCTCTCTCTGATCCTCCCCAGCTTGTGCGCTCTTTCTCTCTCTCAAAAATAAATGCACATAAATAAATAAATAGACATGAAGATACTTTTTTAACTATTGTATATGAAGGACAAAGAAATATTGAATTGCAAATTTCTTAAAGAAAGAACATTTGGACTTGAACATGGTTTTCGGTTCTGATTTGTTTTTAGTGAAGCCTATGCTGCAGTCGGTGTGTATGTGAGGGTGCTTGCGGCTCGTCCTTTATCAACAAGCTTGTTTTCAGACTTTCAGAGGCAGAAACCACATTCAAACTGAGGAAGAGAAGTCCTTGCCAACCACACACAACTTTAATGTCAGGGGAAAAAAAATGTAAAAATAAGCCAACAAAAGCCACTGTTAATATGCAACCCGATGTCTTTGTTCCCTTGGGAACAGAGCTGTGACGTAACTTTTTTGGGGACTGGCTGATGGGCCTGATAATGTAGATACAGAAGCCACAAAAAAGGGAATATTCATGTTAACTTGGGATTATTAAAGATCCTTCCCATGGTACAAAATGAAAGAGATGATTTTCAGAACATAAGAGTCATTAACGATAGTATCTTCATTATGACCCGAAGATATTCAGTGCAAACCAAGCATCTGATATTATGCTATTAAAATATTAAAAGTGCCTTAAATAGGCTGCCTAAATAATCAACCCCCCCCCCCCGTGGTTACACCTATAATTACAGTATTACAACAGCCTGAATTTTAGAGTAAATAAAATAGCTCTCATACTACAGTAACAAATTTAATGGAAGGATTAAAGAAATATTTAGCTGTATTCAGAGGAGACCATTTCCCGCTTACAATGGATTTATTGTTGGCTCTTGGTCCTCCATTGTCCACACCAATCAGTTTGAAAGCAAGAAAAACCCAGAGACTCCGGTAAAATTCAATTTCCTTTCCTACCACCAACTACTATATGTATTGGTTAAATTACCGTAAAACCCAGAATCACATGTAGCTTTTTCGGCCTCTGCGGTGGGCTGTCAGTTTGTCGGGACCGCTCCGAGGTGCACACTTGAATTAAGAGCCGGGGTTTGAATCCCCTGGCACCACAGGAGATGGCGAGCCTGTCATAGCAACATTTGTTTCCTTGACGTTTCCTGGCTCCCAAACTCGAAAGTTTCTTTCCAGTGACTTCCTGGCACGCTTGCGTTCTCTCTCCTTTCTTTTCTTTTTCTTTCTGGTGGGGGTGGGGGAGGAATTTGAGAGAGCTTTATAGAATAGCAACGTGTTTCATACGAGCCAACTGTCAGGGCATTGCTTCCGCAAACACATGTCGTAAGTGTTTGAATCGGACCTCGATGTTCTGATTTTGAAGGTTTGCGGCATGGGTCCTGAAGTTGGGCCGTCTGAAAACTGAATGAATTGAGGCCAGCAGGCAGAGAAGGGTTTCTATCCTACCATTTTATTAGCTGTGTCCTCTAACCTCTTCAACTTTCTGGGTGTCCGCTCCCTCTTTTTCTCTAAAAAAAATTGTTTTTTAAATGTTTATTTTTAAGACAGAAGGAGAGGGAGACAGAATCCAAAGTGGGCTCCAGGCCCTGAGCTGTCCACACGGAGCCCGATGTGGGGCTTGAACTCACAAACTGGGAGATCAAGACACTTAACTGACTGAGCCACCTGGGTGCCCCTCACCTCCCTCTTTTCTAAGGGTCACAATGACCTATGTAGTGACAAGCGAATAAAATAATAGAGAGGAAAGCATTAGTCTATAAGTATGCTTTTTGACGGTGAGTAACAGAATACAGTCATTGAATTATCTTGCATAACCAGAGATGCCCAGGAGTTAGTTCCCGAGTTAGTTTGGCGACTTGGCCACCAGCGGGGGCCAGGTCAGTGTTTGCCATTCATTCTCTTGGCTTTGCCTCATGGTCTCAAGGTGGCTGCTGCAGCTCCAACCATGTGTCTTCACACAAGAGGAACCAAGGTAGAAGGGAAGGGGGCAGGAAAAAGAGTCATCTCCTTAGGCTTTCTCTTTTGTTTGAGTCAGAGCAGGGAAGCTCTCAGTACCTCTCAGAAGTCTTCCAGTGTGGCCACCAACCAGAACCAAGGCCATCATGGCTGCCATCATCCTTTCACTGACAAGGGTAGTGGGGTTGCCACAGGAATGGCCAATCTTTTCTTTTCTTTCTTTTTTTTTTTTAAGTTTATTTAAGAGAGAGTGAGTGTGAGCAGGGGCAGAGAGAAAGAATCCCAACAGCCCAGCAGCCCAGAACCTGACGTGGGGCTCGAACTCACGAACGAGATTGTGATCAGCTCCAAAATCAAGAGTCAGGCACTTAAATGACTGAACTTCCCAGGCGCCCCGGCTCCGGCCAATCTTGATTTCTCCCCTGAGGCCGGGCACGCTGCCACTGTTAGAGAATTGTGGCTTTGTTAGGAAGGAAGACTGGGAATGGTTTGGGGAGCAGCCGACAGCATCAGGTGGGTAGTATAGAATGTTACCCCTGAGGAGGGTCAGGGCGGTGGGCAATACATCCACTGGCCTACCACAGCTTTCACAACCATACCGCGTTTGGGAGTGCTCCACAGCCACAAAACTTGCGGTTTCTCTCGGGGTCCTGTCTCCAGCTCTGCCTCCAGCCGTAGTCAAAGACAGGGTTGGCGTGTTCGGGAATTCTCTGTGGCACAGCCCCATTCTTTGGAGTTTGTGGGCTTCCACCCTTGAGCAGATGCCATTCTGACCCCGGAATGACTGGCTGGGGGGCCCTCCATGCTGGGGAGGCACTCTCGGTCCCTGCTCCCCAGCTTTTCCCGCATCACAGCC